CAGAAATTAGAAAATCCAACCAGAACATTGTTGAGTTGGCTGTGTTGATGTCTGGCCACTTACCTTCCCCTTCCTCTCCTTCCAACAAGGTAAATTACAAGCGTTAATTAAGTTATATTCCCGGACAAAGGATTTGCTGGGGAGGAAAGGCCACTGGAGTCAAAAAGCCCATCCACTAAAGTTTTGTTCCTATTTTGTCACTACTCGCTCTCTGGTACAGCTGTCCCAGAAATACTGCTGCTCTGGTGACGATAGTAATTAATGCTTCCCCTTCAAAAAACAAAATCAAAGTTGGACACCACCAACTAATTACCAGCTAAATGTGAATCTTATATCTGACTGTCCCATCTAAAGTAAGGCTTTTCATGTTAAGTTTGACTATTAATATTCTGTTACACAACAGGACTCCTTTAGTCAAGATTTGACAGCTTCTTGTATTAGTCCAGGATCTAGTTGATATACTGAAAGTACATGCACTTTATAACACTGACAGTGTCTGTAATTTGATATGTGAAATGTGAAAAGTTATATTCCTTCTGTCAATGCATCCTTTACAAAAAACAGGACTGTCTAGTCCACATTGAAGAGAGACAGACAAGATCTATTAGCATCTTAGAGAAGAAAGTTGGATATGAAATCAGATATATTCACATCCAAAGTCAGGTTGAGAAATTAGGCTCAACACATATATAGCTTTAGATGTTAGTGTTATCCAGGACAAGAAAAGGGTTAGCACTTGGACTACGACTACTACTTTCATACAGGCAAGAGGATCGCCCTTTCAGCTGACAGGAGCATTGACAGCAGCTCAAGTTACAGCACTACTGGGAACCAGCATTCTGGTAGCTAGACTTCCCACAACGCAAAAGATAACCAGGGTAGTATATTTTTGCCAATTGTACGTGAAGAGTGCCTACAGCTTTCCCTGTTGTCCTTACATCGCCATGGTTAAAGATTTAATTAAAGGTTCTGCTCAAGTTTGTATTTTCTTTTAGAAAAAGTTACATTTCTAGATAGTGGGGAAGATGGCTTACTTTAAAGCTAGTGATACCCTTGTCTAAAGCAGCTCTTGGATACATACAGCATGAACCAGCTTCTGTTGCAGTCTATGGTACTTTGCCACAGATCGGGGGGTGGGAGGAGGGAAACAATTTCATATACACCAAGTACTTTGCTGCCAGTAGAAGGAAAATGGGATGGGTACTAAGAAGAATCCTAGGGGCTTATAATTGCTATCTAGGACCTCACTTCTCTCTCTAAGCCTAACTACATTGGAGAATACAGTTAATCTCTATCCCACTCCTTGCCCGACTAATGGCTCTTAGATCCACTAATTGTTTCTCTACCTTCAGTTCTCCTACCTCACTCACCCCTTGCTCCAAGTCTAACAGCTCTGATTCAGACCTCCTGTGCTCAGGTACCACTACTTAAAAGGATACGAGTATGATCTAGAGCTATTTTAATCAAACTTTGATCACAAAAAGCATCTCAGACATGTATTTGCTGTCTTTACTCAGCCCCTGCCCTTAATCCCATCCTGTGACTCACCAGCCTTCCTACTATGCATAGCACTGAGTGTGAAGTATTAGTCCCACCAGAAGCAAACAGTAATATCAGAACATTAGTATGTTACATTTTGTTTGGAGGTACAGCAAATATTGTGGTGTGAAAAAATGAAACTGAGACTTGGAAGGAGGCAGCCAACAGTGGGTCAGATGACAGACAAATAAAGTCCAACCTCTCTGCATTAGGATTTCAAGTGGCCTGCTATCAAAGAGAGCACTGTCTGAGAGTCTCAAGTTCCTGCTCAATTTGCTTTTTAGAAATCCCATCCATGCTATCAAAATGTGGAGAAGTGTCCTACTTGTCAAAATGATAATCACCCAAAGTAGTAGTACTTCGAAGACTCCAAGGTTCCTTTACCTCCCCCTTCTACCTCCCAAACGTTTAGACATTTACCATAGGTTCAGCACCACAGAATCCTACAATGGGAACCCATGTGGGGAAGAGCTACCAGCTGTATCATATAACACTGTGGGTTAGATCTGTTCCAAGTACTATTACAGAGAATTTGCAGTTACTCCCAATACTGTTCAATTAGTGATGGCAATGGTGACAAGTTTTAAAGTTGTCTCCCTAGCCATCTTTTTAAAGACGGAAGTTTCAAATAAGCAGGAGTTCATCAACAGAAAGGGCATAAAAGCAAAGCCCAAAGCACTGAAACCAATTCTACCTGTATGCTCAAGTGCCCATTCTCTGAAGTTACCCAAACTTTTTCTTGTTAGCCTTATGCTGGAGCGACCCAGGATTTCAGAGACTCCTTACAGAAATCAAATCTACATAGTTTCTTTACCATTCTTTCAAGAAATCCAATATCAAATTATGCAATCTTCAGGAGTAATGCCATCAAAATAGTAAGGTACTGTGTCTATTGATTTAGGCCATCATTTGGTCTTGTAACTCTTAAGTTACATAATATAGAACCAAGAAATTTTGGTTTGTGATCATAAGCCATGTTTTTGAGGCATTTGATTATTCATTTTGTCAGATAAGCATCAGTGACTCGAAGCAGAAAGTTGGAGAATTCTCAACCTAACAAGTCTTTATTGCAGTTACTGAGCTTCGCAATTACTACAAAATAGACCACTTTCACTGCATACACTCAATGCCTATACACAAAAAGATAGGAACTACTAAGCCCTTCTAAGGAGCTATAGGATTTCTGGACAAGTCTATACCTATCAAGATTAATGTATCTCAGCAGGCACTCACACTGAGTGTAGACACCGTAAGATTTTCAGTACCACGAAAGGGAACAGATACACATTTAACATTGCTATTGCTAACACTTAGTTTTAGCCACATTATGCACTGGACACCTTCCTTACAACTTTATCACACCATCTTTTAGAAATTATATACTAGTTTACACTGTTACACATGTGTAGTTTACCAGACAGACAGGATTCATTAAACCAGTGAACACACAGGAACTTGGTTTTTAATCTGCTTAGCAGCTGGAGTTCAAACTTTAGAGGAGCCAGGTGTTGAACTCTAGTTGCTAACCTGAATTAAAAGCCTGGTTTTCACTGTTATTTTAACTTGGATGACCAGCCATGCCAATATTATTGGGACTCTCCCAATATTAGGGGCTTTGTCATACATGCAACTAAACCCCTCTGGCCCATCCCCAAAAAAAGTTGCCCGATTTTCCACACTTGCTATCTGGTCACCCTAGTTTTAGTTCACATTAGCTAACCCAAATTCATGCATTCTTTTGCAACTTAGACATACCCACTAAAAGCTAGACACACCAAGCAGGAACTTGCATTTTAAAAAATTTTATATAAAACATTCTAAAAACTGTTTAATGTCACAAGCTAGGCATTAATACTGGAAGAAAGCTACAGGTCATCTTGCTTCCTCATTCTGCTAAAGAAGGACTGCCCTGGTACACTATGATTTCTACTGCTTTTTCTCCCCCAAGTCTAATTCCAGTAATTCCTCTGACACTAGAGCTACACTTTGGTTTCCATTGTCACTGAATGACTCCTTCCCCTGTGCGACTCCTCCACTCTCTAAAGCCTCCTTTGTCAGAGTTTAGTTATACTTAGTGCCATATATTTCCTTATGATGTGAAGCAATTTTTTTTTTTTTTTGCACAAGACAAGAGGAAGGCCATTAGGTCTGACTAACACCTTAGTCAAATACCGGGTAAATCTGTTTTTAAAGATGATTACTTCATTCTGGTAGCAGGAAACTAGAAAGGGGGAGCCTGTGCTCCGTAGGGGAGGGAGAAGAGCGAAAATGACACGCTGCTTGCTGCAGCCGACACAGCCACAACTGCTGGATCATTTCTCTTTAAATCTGGCAGCGAGCTGCACATGGAGCTGCATTGTGAGGCCAGCCGCCCGGGCGGCCCCGCGCATGCTCGGCGCTGCCGCCGGGACAGGCCGAGCCGAGCCAGGTCCCCTTGTATCAGCAGCAGTGGCTGAGGCACACTGGGCTAGCCATGCAAGGCTGGTCAGGCCAGGGACAAAGGAAGGGGGAGGGGAGATCCAGACGCGAGTCAGAAAGTGAATCAAGCAGCGACCCCGACCTTTTCTATCGTCTCCCCTCCCCCAAGACACCTGGGGCAGAGCCGGATCTCGCTATCTTCTTCCATCCCGCGCCCCCAACCCTCACTTGGCACCCACACGCCTCCAGCCCAGACCCCGGCTTGTCAGATCCATCTCCCCCCCCCCCCCGCTTTCCCCCGAGCCTCCTACTTTAGAGCTTAAGACAAAAGAAGGGAGGAGGAAGATGCCCACCCTTCCCCGCAGCGGGGGGAGAGCCATGCCCGCTGCTCCGGGGGAAAGAGGGGCTGTGACAGCTGCAGCCCCTCAGATCCTCCCCGTAAGGGGGGGGGGGGAAACGGGGACTCAGCCCCACACAGACAAGCCAAGCGATCGCCTCCTGGAGCTTTGTTGCCGAGCAGCACCCCAACCTAGCGGGGGGGGGGGGAAGAGACCCTGGGTACGTTCACAGGGGGGAGCAGAAGGGAATCCCTCAAATCCTCTTTAGGACCCGCCCCGAGAGAGCACAAGGAGACACCCCCCCCCATCCGCCTACCACTTAGGGGGGGGAGAAAGATTCCAACGCGCCCGACAGCGACCCCCAGCCCCCCAAGCACCCCAGTCTGAGCCCCTCCCCCGCTTCCACCACGCAGCTCCCCTCCGCTGGATCCCCACGCAGCTCCCCTCCTCCCCCCGGCGGCCTACTTCCCTCAGCTCCCGGCGTGGGGGGGGGAAGGGTGCCCCAATCTACCCTCCTCCCCTCCCCCCCACGCCTGTCCACACAGGCGGCCCGTAACTTACCCCTCCCCTCCTCACCCGCTGCCCTCATGCTCCCGCCCCCCACGGCCAGCTCCCGTCCGCCCCAGGCCCGACGCAGCTTGCCCCCCTGAGCAGCGCTCCCGGCCCGCCGCCCCCAGCCCGGGCCCCAGCCCCCAGCCCGGCTACCTGCTAGTTGCCTCCGCAGTAGCAGGGCGGACTGGAGCTCCGTCATTCTCCCCCTCTCTGCCCGGGGAGGGAGTCCGAGCGGCGGCGAGGCTGCGGCGGCGAACGAACTGGCCGGCGGCGGCGAGTCCCCCTCACGCCGCCCGCTCCTGGCCCCCCCGGGGTCTGGCTCCGCGTCGGGCGCCGCCGTAGCACACAGGGTCCCTAACCGGGGCTTAAGCCCGTCGCTCCGTGTCTGCCGCTCACTCGCCACCTCCCCCCGCCCTCCCGGAATTTCACTGCACTCCAGGCCCCGGCGCGCAAGCGCACTCCCCACAACCGGGCTCCGGCGGCCGGCCGCCCCGCGTCGCCATCTTGGGGAGGGGGTCCAGCTGGATCCACCCCCGCCGCCATTTTGAGAAGGTCAGGCGATGGCCCTCACTGTAACCTGAAGGAGGAGGAGGCCCACGCTTGGTGCTGCTGTTGGCCTTGGCAGTGGCCCGCAGCCAGGAGGACTCCCAGTTCCTCCTCTCGTGGAGCGGGGTCTTTCGCTCCTGCATCTTCCTGATAGTACGTCTGGGGGACACAACTCTCCCGAGTGAAGCCTGGCCCAGCAGCCTCCTGAGGCCATGTGTGCCTGTCGGTGGGGAGCTGGGTCCCAGCGGACCTACCTCAGCAGCTCAAGGGAACGGGGCAGGACAGTTACTCTGCATTTCCACAAGCACTGATTTATTCAAAGGGGTGCAGCAAAAAAGGGCTGCCCCTAGATAATTATCCACCAAACCCCTGCAGCCCTCGGCCTACCCAAGTACCACCTCCTCCAAAGCCCCAGAAAATAACATGGGTTTTCAACGTGAGGCCAGGCGAGGGCCAACGCCTAGGGAAATGGCTGCGGCTAGAAGAAAACTCTTCTTCCTCTCTACCCTGTGTGGGAGCGCTGCAAAGTGTATGTACTTTCGCTTATTGATTGTGTGATGTGAGCTTTCTCTGAATGAGCTCAAGGAAATGAAGTAGCACAGGACAAGCTCAGTCACCGGCTCTGGTTCTCTCTGAGCTACACAAAAGCGTACGCTCAGATAAATTTGTTAGTCTCTAAGGTGCCACGAGTACGCCTTTTCTTTTTGCGAATACAGACTAACATGGCTGCTACTCTGAAATAAAATCTATTGTGTTGCTTTGTAGTTGAAGGGAATAGGGATGGTTGTAGGGTCTCTATATGAAACATCTAGGAACAGATTTAAAACAACAATTAAAGGGCTGAGGAAAGGGCCTTGGGAGTATGGAAGTTGTCTGAAGGGAAGTGATTTAAGCTAGAAATCCAGTAAATAATCTGGAAAAAGTAAGAGCTGCTTGTGTGATTGTCTCAAAGGGTTGTTTGAGCCCTTAGAAGAGGTGCAGGCCTCTATGCTGAATAGTGAAATGTTTTGTTGGATTCTTATTATTTATATTGTTTATTTAATCCTGTAAGAAGTAGAGTCTTTGGTTAGAGGACTGAATTACACAACTAATGAGGAAAAACTGAGGAAGTAGCTGTCTTTCTACAAAGATAAGGCAAACTACATTTGCAAAGGGCTTTACTTTGTGATGGCTCTCTAAAATAAATAAATAGGTCCTTTTCCCCCCCAAAAAGTCTCCTAGTACTATGGAAAATACTTTTCTTATTGATGGAAGGGCACTAGAATTGGGGTTGGCCACAGAGTGTGAATCAGTAATTTACTAAGGGAAAGCCACATCAGAGGGGGAGATCTTGCATTGAGTTCTGAAAGTGGAAAGGCGTGCAGCGAGTTTCATTACTATTGCTTCCTATCTCATCACTCTGCCTCACTGAAGTTCTAAGGCTTATGTGGCATTAGCTCAAATCATCTATATCCAAGGTAACTTCTCTTGAGGTAGTCCAGTGAGACCAGTCAAATTGCACAGAGTGGATATATTAGCTGCACAGAGTAGCTGAATCCTGGCTGCTTTATTAGCTCAAGATTCAGAAGCGTTCAAACTTCAACCCGTGCCCCCAGTGAGCCAGTTAGAGCAAATTTAAAGCACCTCTTCAGTTGAGCTAGAAATGTCTGTGTGTGTGGATGGGAGTCTGGTTAGGGGCATCCCTGGACTTACTCCTCAAGCTAATGCTGCAGTGAAGCTAACCCCACATGTGGCCAGAAAGCTGGCAATTCAGCTGCTCTAATGCATTGGTCATTCTAGCACTACTCCTCCTCCCCCTGTTACTTCTGCTATCGCTCTACTGATCATTTTGATCAAGGCTTGGTCCTCTTATGTAGTTCAACTGAGATAACACAAGAATTTCCAACACAGATGAAATATACCCTCTTTCTTCCCTTCACCAATATTGTTATCACTAGAGGGAATCACACTGAGGGGATAGAGAGCTGAGACCTATTGTGAGGGGTGGAAATGGCCACCCATTCATTGGGATGTAGACTCTGATTCCAAAACTTATTTCACACAGCTCCCAACCTGCAACGCTTTGTCAGTTTCATTCAGTTCTTTTTAATTTTTATGTTAAAAGTCTCTAGTGTGGGAGTTCATTTTGCACTTTATAGTGCTAAGCAATGAGATACTTTTGAGGAGCTATGATGGGAATTGGGATAGGGATCCAGAATGCAGTGATACTGCAACAGTTGCAGGGAATACTTTTTATGAGCCTGCTATACTGGTAACCCTGAAACATAATAGGTAATGTGGATGTGCTGGTATAATTCTTAAATGTAGAAAGGACTTCAGCAAACCCATTATTAAGCAGGACCGTTGTTGTAGGCTTACTCCAGACTAGCCAATCCAGACTGAGGTATTGAATGTTTCTCAGGTCAGTGGGTTAATAGTTAAAAATGTGGTAAGATATGTATTAAATCTTTAATGAAAAAATCTCAAACTCTAAAGGTAAGGAGGATTTTTGATAGAGTAGATCAGAAATATGTCAATAATAGTCAGGGCTATTCTAAATTTTAGTTATATAATTCATGTCATAAAGTTAATTGAAACAGAATTTCAAGATTCTGACAAGAAGATAAAGACAAAAGTCAGAACTTGTCTCATACACAAACACCAGTGGTTTGACCCAAAGCAGTGTGTATGGGAAACCTTTTGCTTGATGTTAAATGTTGCTGGATTTCGGGGGGGTGGGGTGACTGGATGGCTCAGGTGGGTGGTAATAGGAGATGGTGCTTTTACCCAACAGGTGGTTGTTTTTAAACTCCGTTTGAGTTAGCATTATGATGGCTGGTGGTACACAATATACAAAATGAGTTGGTGGTGTGAGAGCAGTTCAAATTTCAGCTGTCCTTATCATGAGAAACCATCACCACAGTGAGCACATACTGACACTGTTGTTAGCAGACTTGGAGACAGTGTGTTGTGAACTACCCACTCGCACTGAGAAGTGGTCACTCCAACTCAGAGATAGGGCATGTTTGTGGGGAGCATAAGTGAAGCTTGTATGGATTCTATATATGTTCTGTGCATAAAAGGAAGCTTTAATTCTCAGTGCCAGTCAAGCCAGTACTAAATTAATTCAAGTTTCTGTTCTAGCTGTCAATCCAGACATGAGTACATATTTCTGACAAGTCTATTACTAGATTGCAGTTCCAAGAACAGTTCTGTAGCCTATTACAATATAACCCAAATCATACTGTACCTAGCCATGAGGTCAGTTGTTGGCAAAGTGTTCTTTCTTAACTATGGGGAGTTTCATGGGGGTGACTTGTGATACGGGCTCTCAGTGCCGGGCAGCACAGTGCCTACACAAGCTCTGCGCCACCCTAACTACATTGACCTAAACACTATACCTCTCGTGGAGGTGGACTTATTAGGTCGGTATAGTGGGGGACTTACACTGCTGGAAGCAATGCTGTAGTGTAGATACCTCGACTTGGGTCGACCTCAGCTGCCTTACGTCGACCTAGCTCTGTAATAAGAACAGGAGTACTTGTGGCACCTTAGAGACTAACAAATTTATTAGAGCATAAGCTTTCGTGGGCTACAGCCCACTTCATTGGATGCATAGAATGGAACATATAGTAAGAAGATGCCATACAAACTGTAAGAGGCTAATTAATTAAGATGAGCTATTATCAGCAGGAGAAAAAAAAACTTTTGTAGTGATAATCAAGATGGCCCACTGTAATATAGACCTGGCCTTAGTAGAAGTAACAAGGATTGTTTGGTCAGAAGCTGAGGGTAATGATCTTTCCCTTGCACCATGATAACTATCTGCAGGGGGCAGATTAGGGAAAAGTGGTGTGCTTACCACACCTAACTTCTGTATACTCATGACACCAAATGACAGTCTACTCTTAGTAGATAGCATAGATCTCTGTAATGCAAATGTATTTCATGCATGCTGAGATCAATGAAATGAAATTTAAATTGCATAATTGATAACTATAATTAGGCTTAAAACTTAATCCCACTAAGACAAATGAGAGGATGTCATACCTCTTATTGTTTCAGATTGTTTGCAGATTTGAGGAGTCACCACTGCGTCAGTTTACATCCAGCTCACAATCTGAAGTTTTTGTTACATAAATAGTAAACAAACAAACAAAAAACCCCTGTAGTCCTTATGGTTAGAAAGGCTTAGGTTCTCGTACCCAAGCAGTCAGCGGGGAAAGGACCATTTTGCTGCACTGCTGTAAGCAAGCCCACTCTAAGCCTTTACCTTTTTATAGTGCATTCCTTAGCACTGGTATCTGAGTGACTAAACCTGAATGAGCTTGTGTGTGTGATAAGGGCCAAATTTTCTTCTGAGAGATAGTATGAGGGCAGCATTTGGCCTCAACCTTGCAAGCATACTCAGCTTCATGCCAAAAGCAAGTATTCTGCAAACTCTTCAGTCAGTGAGGGCTCAGGGGAAAAGAATAGAGCCAAGCACTGGGTTCTTCCATATACAACACTCTGTTTCAGGGATTTTATACAATGGCTTGAATAACAGCACAGCAAGGTCTAAAAGCTGTGTTATTTTTCTGCTTAAACTTGATCTATAAATAAAGTGGGAAGCTGGACCCTAGGACCAGTACTAAGTATGGTCAGAACTATTTTATCTAAGTTCAAACCCACTCCTGCATAACAGGTTCAAAAGTTCAACTCCTACTCAAATGTTGCTGGGTTCATGTTCCACTGGGAAGAGCAGGAGAAGTATCCAATGAAAAATAGAGCAGAGAGCAGGCACAGTGGCAAACTGTAAGGGAAAAAACTGTGCATCTACCACAGCACATCCCTTAATAGAGTGAACCTCACTGAAATATCTGTTGTTTATTTGTATCACCCTAGTGCTTAGATGCCCCAACTAAGATCAGAGCCCTGTTGAGCTAATCCTGCAAAAACATGTACTAAGACGTTTCCCTGTAGAGTTTAGAGTCCTAACAGATGACATAGACAAAGGGTTTCGGAATAACAGCCGTGTTAGTCTGTATTCGCAAAAAGAAAAGGAGTACTTGTGGCACCTTAGTGACTAACCAATTTATTTGAGCATGAGCTTTCGTGAGCTACAGCTCACTTCATCCGATGCATACTGTGGAAACTGCGGAAGACATTATATACACAGAGACCATGAAACAATACCTCCTCCCACCCCACTCTCCTGCTGGTCATAGCTTATCTAAAGTGATCACTCTCCTTACAATGTGTATGATAATCAAGTTGGGCCATTTCCAGCACAAATCCAGGTTTTCTCACCCTCTCCCCCCCCCCCCCCAAACTCACTCTCCTGCTGGTAATAGCCCATCCAAAATGACCACTCTCTTTACAATGACAGGTTTCAGAGTAACAGCCGTGTTAGTCTGTATTCGCAAAAAGAAAAGGAGTACTTAGGTGGGCCATTTCCAGCACAAATCCAGGTTTTCTCACCCCCCCCTCTTTTTTTTTTTCAAAAACCACACACACAAACTCACTCTCCTGCTGGTAATAGATTATCCAAAGTGACCACTCTCCTTACAA